ATGAAAACATGTGCCTAGCATCTTGTAAAGCTTAAAGCACTATGTAAAGGTGAACTGTGGCAGATAGGTAGATAGCACTCTGCTTGGAGTTAGGAAGAATCGAATTAAAACCCAACCTCAGACACTTTGTAATTAGCTATGTGTGACCCTGGACAAATCATTTCATCTCTCTCTGCCTCAATTTCCTCATCTGTAAAATGTGGCAAATAATAACACCTACATCCTAAGGCTGTCCTAAGGATAAAATGAAATAATATTTATAAAGTGCTTTACAAATTTTAAGGTTTTATACAAATGATGGCTAGTATTATTAACTATTCTTATTATTGATATTACTATTTTCCTTTGAGTTAGGAATGGCTAAACCTGTTTAAGGCAGCTAATTCACATGATGGATAGAGTTTGGGGCACAGTCAGGAAAAGACATCTTCCTGAGTTCAAATCTAGCTTCAAACACTTCCTAACTATGTGATCCTGAGCCAGTCACTTTACCCTGTTTACCTTAGTTTCTTCATCTGTAAAATGAGCTGGAGAAGGAAATGGCAAACCACTCCAGTATCTCTGCCAAGAAAACCCCAAGTGGGGTCACAAAGAGTCAGACACGACTAAAAAACAACTGAACAATGAAATTCTATTTCCCTTGGACCCAAAAACCTTGAAATTATTAGGGTGATGAGTTGGAGGGGAGGGACGAGGGATACTGATAGACAAATCTCCAAGTGGAAAAGCAAGATGGAATACTTTTCCGTGCTGGGATTTACACCATTGAGACAAGATGTGATTGAGAAAGGAAATGATTGGGGAACCCCCATCTAGCACACCACAGGCAACTAACAGGCACAAAATTGTAACAAATATTGACAAAAAGCTTTACTTTGAAATAAGATTTGAGTCATTTAACATTTAACATCATACTTGCCTCACAAACACTCAGCAAAGTAATTCATTTCTGTACCTTTCTCCTGATTCTTGCAGAAGGGTAATCTACACTGGCAATAACAATACTTTACTTACTCTTATTAAATTGGTTATAAGAAATACAAATTTAGTGGAAGTTCAGGAACACATTTCCTTAAGAATATTTAACATAAATATTAATATACTATATAAATACAAGCTTACATACATAGTAATTTCAACTAATATTATATTATTAGCAATACCATTCATTCAGCAATTATTTATCATGTCTACTGTGAACAAAGCACTGTGTCAGCCTCTGGGGAAATGCAAAGATAATCATAACACATTCCTTATTATATAAAGTAAAATAATAATATGTAATAACAATAATGAATAAGTCGGGTTTTGGGGGGGGGGGTTTGCTTTTTTGGTGAGGCAATTGAAATTAAGCGACATCCAGGGTCACACAGCTAGTAAGTGTTATATGTCTGGGACTGGATTTGAACTCAGGTCCTCCTGATTCCAGGGCCAGTGCTCTATCCACTGTGCCACCTAGCTGCCCCACAAATTAGTTTTTAAAAGAAAACTGTGAGGCACTATGAGGAGGCTCAGCTGACAATATGACATTTGGTATAATATTTAGTATTTATATATTGTTTTAAGGTTTTCAAAGTGCATTACAGATATTATTGCATTTAATCCTTATAAAAACCTTGGGATGTGAGGTAGATTTTATTATTATAGGTAGGCAGATAGAGGTTTAAATGACTTGCCCAGTGTGTCTGAGGCCCAGATTGAACTCAGATATTATTGACTTCAAGCCCTCTCTATCCATTGAGCACCAGTTCCTCAGGAGCCCCTGTTGACCAATAGAAATGCTCCTCCAGCATGTGCCAGCTCCCCTAGAGAATCCTAGATCAACTAGTCCATGCTCTATGAATGCCTATGGCCAGTATTCTTTTCCTTGGATTGGTATAGAAAAGACTGGAGCTGGCTGTCATGGAGGACTTTACAAAGGCGATATAACATCATATTAGAGGGCTGGGAACAGATAGTTCACAGGAGTGGGGAATCTGAGGCCTCAAGAGCGCATGTGGCCCTCTATGTCCTCAAATGTGGCTCTTTGACTGAATCCAAACTTCACAGAACAAATCCCCTTAATAAAAGGATTTGCTCTGTAAAACTTGGACTCAGTCAAAAGGCTGCACCCAAAGACCTAGAAGGCCACATGAACCCCTAGTTCAAGGTCTTTTATCATCAGCAGCCTAGTCATTCACACAGGACTTTAGAGTTTACAAAGTGCTTCACATCAAGTACCATAATTAATCCTTCCATTAACCCTGAGAACACAAATGTTTTTGTAGATGGGAAAATTAAGGCATAGGGAGGCTAGTTGATTTGTCAAAGGTCACACAGTTAGTAAGTGGCAGAGCCAGCATTCAAATTCAAGTCTTGTGATTACAAATCATTTGCTTTTTTCTATTATCTTAAATGTTTCCAGAAAAATTGAAACTCCTTTCCATGCATGGTAAGGAGCCATTATCAGATTTTGAAGATGCAAAAGTTGGTGTTTCAGGAAGATTGATTGGGTGATGACATGTAGAATAGACTGAAATAGGAAAAGCTTGAAGGCAAAGAGATCAGTTAGGAAAATAATTCAAGCATTAGATAATTAAGATTGATTTAAATTGCAGTAGCTCAACAAAAAGTCAGTTTCTTTAATCTCCTATGTCACGCTTGACTCATATTGACCTTGTAATTTACTTGAATCCCTGTCTTTCACATGAACTGTTGCCCATCCAAGATTGTACATATTCAATTTTTATGCAATGCTAAGATTTTATAAAATCACAGAATCTCAGAGTTAGAGGGGACCACTATTCCAACCCACACTTGAGCAAGAATCTCAAATTCAGTAATGAGAAATAGGTCTGAAACAGAGCCAAGGGTGTTAGGCAGTGAAGATGCTCTTAAAAGACTTCTGATCTGAAGAGGAAGAAAGTGGTATAGCATAATTCTGAAAGGCTAGCCAAAGATTTGTTCTGCTAGAGCATTTAGAAAGGCAGCGGTGTCCCATATTATCAAAATAATTAGGGTATTTTACCTTTTATGTCATCTGGGAACTAGTTATGAAAGTTGTATAAGTATTTGTGGTGATAAAAAGTGTACTTATCTTCAATATACTAAAGCAGCTTGTTTTTAGACTCTATTCTCTGTGCTTATGGAAGACATTTGGGTCACAATTTTTTGCTACAAAATAAGAATTTGTGCTATCTAACCATGAAACTAATAATTGCCAATAAACTCAGTCAGAGAAATGATGATGATGGGAGAGAGCAGGGAGATGAGGAAGATGGTCTTACATTACATATGGTCTTTTACAGCTTGAAAATTTGTCTGCTCACAACTCTATGAGGTAGATAGAACAAATATTATCACCACATTCTTAAGGAGGAAACCAAGACCCAGAATGGGTAATTGATTATCATGTAATGATGTAAATCTGGATTTAGACTCAGGGGAACTGTGTTCAAATCTTTATTTTTTGAACTTGAGCAAGTCATCTTCCCTTTCTGAGCCTCAGTCTCTTTATCAATAATTACGGAATTATATACCATGATCTCTAAGGTCCCTTCTGGCTGTAAACCTAGGATCCTGTGTCTTGCCTAAGGTCACACAGTAGTAGATTGTGGACTTATGTTCAAGTCTTCTAACTCCAGATATTTCTCCTATATTACATTATTTATTGGAGATGACTTTCCAAATCAACATATCCAGTTATTTCAATAATGAGCTAATACTTCAAAGTCATGTTTGAAGTTTAAAAAGAACAAAACTTTGTTCTGATCCTGGCTATTTTCTTGGACAATATCTGAAACCTTCTGAATCTTTTCCTGTTATTCAGATTCTAGATATATTGACTTTAATTCTATCCTTTGGACGTTAATCCCTCCAAAGAGTTATAGAATCTCAGAATTGGAAGGAACCTCATAGATAAGCTTGTCCAATTCATACATGAACAAAAATTGCCTTTATAATAACTGCAACAAATGGTCATCCATACTCAAAGACTTTCAGTGTTTGGAAACTCAGCCCCATTGTTAGGGAATTTTAATCAATTTTGATCCAAACCTAGTTCTCCACAATTTTTACCCATTCCTCTTATTTCTGTCCAAAGGGGCTATAAAGAACAAGAAATTGTGTGCTCCTACTGAGTCTCCCTTTCTCCAGATCAATCATCACCAGTTCCTTCAATTGATTCATACATAGCATGGTCTGTACCATCTTAGTCTTCCTTCTTTGAACCTACTCTAACTTGTCACTGTCCTTTCCAAAAATCAGTGCCCTGAACTGAACACAATACTCCAGATGTGACTTAACCAAGGCAAAATACACGACTATCTTCTTCTTCTTTCTGGACACTGCTTCTATTAGTGTTGCCTAAGACTGCATCATTTTCTTGGACTGTTGTGCCACCCTATCAATTTATATTGGGCTTGCAGCCTACTCACATGACCAGGTGCTTTTTCTTAGTTCTCTAGTTATATATCTCCAATGCTGGAAATATAGAGGGTTTTTTTTTTTAATCCAAGTGGAGAACTTTGCATTTATCCCTATTAAATTACACCATCTCATATTAAGACTATCATTCCAGCCATCAAAATCTTTGGAGTTCCCAGTTGCCTTGGTCATGGGTAGATGCTTAATAAATATTGGTTGACTACTTCATATTAAACAATTTTGTATTTACTCATATTTATTCCAGATATACTTATATATGTCTTTGTTGTCTTCCCTATTAGAACATAAGTACCTCAAGAGTAGAGAGTGTATCATGTATTTTATGCATACCCTCAGTGCCTGGCACTTAGCAGACACTAGAAAGCTTTGATTCAAAACGCTTTGAAAGCATTGATGAATGCATTTATTGAAGTGAAGTGAATTAAGTCAACATTAATAATAATAGTATTGAAAGCTGATATTTATATCCTGAGTTAAGGTTTACAAAGCACTTTATATACTTTGTATCATTTAATGCTAACAACAATCCTATGAAGTAAGTACTGTTATTCTCTCCATTTTACAGCTGAGAAAAGAGAAGCTGAGGTTAAGTGGCATGTCCATCATCACGGAGCTAGTAAGTATCTAAGGCAGAATCCATGCCTTCCTAACCTCAGGTCTAATACTCTATTCATTATACCACAATGCCTTCCCCGCTTTGTATCTGCCACAAATTTGGTTAAAACGCCACCTATGACTTAATACAAGTCATTGATGGAAATATTGATGACTGTAAAAACAATAACATGGCAACAACACAAAACTAAAAGTTAGAACTAGAAGGGGCCTTTCAATTATCTGATTCAACCCTCTCAATTTATAGATTAGGAAACTGAAACCCAGAGAAGTTAAGTGATTTGTCTAGGATAAAAAGACGGTATATAAAAGAGCTGGAGTTTGAACCCCAATGCCTTCTGCGTCTTTTAAACCCATTTCAATTTTCTTCCATAATAGTTCATCCTTATCTTTAACTACATATGCATATGTACATATGTGTAATGTATGCATATATATATATATATATATATATATATACATATACACATACATGATACTTTAAGTTTTACAAAATAATTTCCTCACCAAAAAAAAAAAACATGTGGAAGGTAATTCAGTATTTAATCTACTCATTTCAAAGGTGAAATGGAAAAAAAAAAGAGAGAACAAATGATTTGGTCAGAGTAAAAAAGCTACTCAGTGTTTGAGTCAGGACTTAAACACACATCTTTGAACTGCAGTCTCTTACCACTGTGAAACATAGAGTCTCCTACTACCATAACCCTCCAGACTAGTGCCAGTTCCTTAATCCACTCTTTGGTGGTAGTCACTCCAACTTGTCCATAAAAGTATCATAGAACATTTCTGACAATTGCTTTGATAAAATCTAGGTATACCATGTCTATGGTACCCTAGTGGAAATGTGATTAAACTGGCATGATTTGTTCAAGATTATACTGGTTTCTAGTGATCACTATTTCTTTTTCTAAGGACTCATAAACCATTCCTTTAATAATGTGTTCCAGAATTTTTTAAAAGGAGCCAAGTCAAGCTGATCACCTTGTTATTTGAAACACTGACTTTCTTATTTTGAAATTCAAGAGATTTGCCTCTGGTTTGCAGAGACGTTCCCATTCTCCAGTTTTTCAAAAATCACTGACACCATGCTTCCTGGAAATTGTATCTGTAAGTTCTTTCAGTAGCCTGACATCTAGGCACTCTCTTATTATTGAGTTATTTTTTGTGGGGTTCACAACTCTATTAAACATTTGTTCTTGGCAGCATGCTGTAGCGTGGAGGTGTCAATCATGAAACCATCGAGGGGCAACTGCATGAGGCCCATACAACTCCTGAGAACAGCCCAAACCAGATTAAAATGTAATTGGGAAATATTTAACAAAATAAATAAAAATACAATAAAACATGGATACCATTTACATTTCAAAACTAAGTCAACATGCAGCCCACAGATATTCCCTAGGTATGGATTTTTTTAAATTTTTCTTTGCTTTTTAACATTTAAAAAAAATTTAAGTTCCAACTCTCTCCCTCCCAAGCCATCTTTCCCCTATCCACTGAGAAGACAAGCACTATGATATCAATTATACATGTAAAGTCACGTAAAATATATCAGCCACATTGGGGAAAGAAACAAAACAAGGCAAGAAAAATAAAGTGAAAATGTATACTTCAATCTGTACTCAGAGCTCATCAGTTCTCTCTCTAAACGGGATAGCATTTTTCATGATGAGTCCTTCAGAATTGTATGAGATCATTGTCTTGATCTGTTCTGATTCTGCTTACTTTGCTTTACGTTAGTTCATATAAGTCTTCCAAGGTTTTTTCTGAAACCATCCTACTCATCATTTCTTATAACACAATAGTATTCCATCACAATCATATACCACAATTTATTGTCATGCCGTACTTGTTAAGTGTCCCTTCAGTTTCCAATTCTTTGCCACCACAAAAAGATCTACTATACTTTTTTAAAAATAGGTCCTTTTCCCTTTTCTTTGATTCCTTTGGGATACAGACCTAATAGTAGTATTGCTGGGTCAAAAGATATGCACCACTTTACAGCCCTTTGGTCATGTTCCAAATTGTTCTCTAGAAAGTTTGGACTAGTTCACAACTTTACCAACAGTTCATTAGTGTCCCAATTTTTCCACATCACCTCTAGCATTTGTCATTTTTCTTTTCTGCCATGTTAGCTAATCTGATAGGTGTGAGATGGTATGTCAGAGTTGTTTTACTTTGCATCTTTCTAATAAATAGTGATTTATAGCATTTTTTCATATGACTATTGATAAGTTTCAGTTACTTTTTCTACAAATTGCCTTTTCAGAGCCTTTTACCTTTATCAGTTGGGGAATGGCTCTTATTTTTATAAATTTGGTTCAGTTGCTTATATATTTGAGAAATAAGGCCTTTAGCAGAGAAACTTGCTATAGACTTTCCCAGTTTCCTGCTTTCCTTCTAATTTTGACTGCATTTGGTTTTGTTTGTGCAAAACCTTTTTAATTTCATGTAATCAAAATATTTGTTTTATTTTTCATGATCCTCTCCATCTCTTGTTTGTTAATAAACTCTTCAGTTATCCATAGATCTGACAGGTAAAATTTGCCATCTCACTTAATTACTTACAATATCAATCTTTTTTGTTTGTTTGTTTGTTTGTTTTTGGTGAGGCAATTGGGGTTAAGTGACTTGCCTGGAGTTACACAGCTAGTAAGTGTTATGTGTCTGAGGCCAGATTTGAACTCAGGTCTTCCTGACTCCAGGGTTGGTGCAATATCACTCTTTATAGCTAAATCATTCACCCATTTTGAACTTATTTTGTTACATAGTATGAGATACTGGTCTCTGCCTAGTTTTTTCCAAAACTGTTTTCCAGTTTTCCCAGCAATTTTTAATTAAATGATGAATTTGTGTCCCAAATACTTGGATCTTTGAGTTTATCAAACATTAGATGAGCATGATCATACTACTGTGTATTATGTACCTAATCTATTCCACCGATCCATTGCTCTATTTCTTAGCCAGTATCAGACTATTTTGGTGATTGTCACTTTGTAATACAGTTTGAAATCTGGTACTGCTAGGCTGCCTTCCCTCACATTTTTTCATTGATTTCCTTGACATTCTTCACTTTTTGTTCTTCCAGATGATTTTTATTATTTTTTTCTAGCTCTATAAAATAATTCTTTGGTATTCTGATTGGTATGGTGCTGAACAAGTAAAGTAATTTTGATAGAATTGTCATTTTATTATATTGAGTTGGCCTATTAATAGCTTCATTTGCGTGAAAAGTGTTTTATAGTTTTATTCATAAAGTCCCTGAGGCAGCTAGGTGGCACAGTGGATAGAATCTAGGCCTGGAATTAGGAAGCCTCATCTTTCCAAATTCAAATCTGGCTTCAGACACTTACTAGCTGTGCTATCCTGGGCAAGTTACTTAACCCTGTTTGCATCAGTTTCCTCATCTGTAAAAATGAGCTGGAGAAGGAATTAGCAAACCATTCCAATAGTTTGCCAATCAAACCCCAAATAGAGTCATGAAGAGTCAGACACGACAGAAAACAATGAAACAACAACAAATTATAAAGTCCTTGGGTTTGGCAGGTAGACTCCCAATTATTTCATATTGTCTGCAGTTATTTTAAATGGAATTTCTCTTTCTTTTCCTGCTAGATTTTGCTGTTGATGATTTGTGTTGGTTTATTTTATATCCCACAACTTTGCTAAAGTTATTGTTTCAAGTAGTTTTTTTTTAGTTGATTCTCTAGGGTTCTCTAAGTATAACATCATATCATCAGCAAAGAGTGACAGTCTATTTCTTCATTGTCTATTTTTACTCCTTAAACTTCTTTTTCATGTCTTATTGCTATAACTAGTATTTCTAATACAATGTCGAATAACAGTGCTGATAATGGACTCTTCACTCCTGATCTTATTGGGAAGGTTTCTAGTTTATCCTCTTATAGACAATGTTTGCTCTTGGTTTTAGATAGATACTACCTACTATTTTAAGAAAGGTTCTATTTATTTCTATCCTCGCTAGTCTTTTTAATAGGAATAGTATTGTATCTGCTCAAAAGCTTTTTCTGGATTTACTGAGATAATCATGCTTTTTGTTGTTTTTGTTATTGTTTGCTCAATTATGCACATAGTTTTCCTAATATTAAACCAGCCTTGCATTCCTTGTGTAAATCTCACCTGGTCACAGTGTATGATCTTTGTAATATATAGGTCTAATCTCCTTGCTAGTATTTTTTATTTTTAATTTTCTTTTTTATTTTTAGGCAGTTGGGGTTAAGCGACTTGCCCAGAGTCACACAGCTAGTAAGTGGCAAGTGTTTGGTCTGAGGCTGGATTTGAACTCAGGTCCTCCTGACTCTAGGGCTGGTGCTCTACCCACTGCGCCACCTAGCTGACTCCTCCTTGCTAGTATTTTGTTTAAATTTTTGCATCAATATTCATTAGAGACATTGGCCTATAGGTTACTTTCTCTGTTTTCACTATCCCTGGTTTAGGTACAGATTAATGGCCCCCATTTCTATTTGATTTTGACACCACTGCTGTAATGGCTAGAAGGCCAGTCTTGGAGCCAAAGATCTGAGTTCATATTTCACTTCTGGTACATACTATCAGTGACCCTGGCCAAGTTATTTAATCAGTTAGTGTTCCAGACCCTTCTCTAAGGTTCTATGTAGCAGAGAAGATACCATCCTCCATGGATAGAGGGAGTTTCCTCACGTGGAAAAGTTCCTTATATTAATGAAATAAAAGGTCCAGTCCCTGTCCCCATCCTTTACTTCTCACACAGAAGGCCATTTTCTTTTATATGGGAAGAGAAACAAAATGTAAATAGCTCTGGACTCTTTCCCACCTCTGTTATCATTGTTGTATCTATTTCTCAGCAGTGATTCTGTCTCTTGTTAGATCTTCTGATTACTCCTAACATAAATAAAGTTTCCTTTTTTTCTGTCTTCATATCTAGAGTTCTTAAGCTGCTAGGGTAAAGCGTAAAGTAGGTTATCAGGTTTATATCAGAGATGTAGACCTAACCTGTCTATA